ATTTTTTTTTCTTTCCAGCGGTTTACCTGTGTAAGAGAACAATGCAAAACAAGGCCAGGCTGGAGCTGGCAGACTACGAAGCTGTAAGTACAAAGGACTCGCTGGCAAAGCGAGTCATGACATAAACAGGAATAAGGCCTGTGGTCATTTCTGGGGACTGTGTTTCCTTCCTACATGTACAGAGGTTAAGGATCAGATTTCCAGGGATCAGGCAGTTTACTGAGTGAAATGCCCAACTTGCTTGCTGCCTCTCCTCATTCACCTTGAGCACAGTGAAACTCTAACACACAAACTCAGAATAAAAGGGGAAAGCATATTTTATTTGCTAAATGGACTTAAGGGTAAAAGCTTTAGATATATACTATCTATAGTGAAAACATCCCAACTTAGAGACTGAAAGATCATTTACCCTGGAAAAATCACTTGTGCAAAATCCTCAGGTTGATCTCCCAGCAGGTAAAATTAACCTGGTGTAATTTGTTCGGGCAGTCATTATGCTGTAATTTGCTGAGTTTGAAGTGCCAACCAGAAATGATGGGGGGCTGCCACGGGTTTGCATTATGGCCAAGAACTGGATAGACAGACTCAGTGGAATGACTACTTCCTGCTTCTCAGGGCTGGGGGAAACAGAAAATCCCATGGATTAGACCTGAGCACTCTTTCATTACTAGATAATTTTAGAATTGTGGGCTTTTAGTTGTGTTCTCTAGAGTCAATTATTCCTAAAAATCAGTATGGGTGATAGATTTTCCTGTTTCCTCTGATGGTGAATGGGGATTAGCTGCCTTCAGTGAGTCTGACTTACCAGAACCAGAGGGCACTTCCAACTTTAGGAATTCTGTACTTGTTTGCTTGATAAATACACATGGTGGACAAACTAGATGGCAGTCGCGAAGTCGAGCGCCAGAATGCCTTCAGCTATGGTGTGTTTTCCAGGAGAGCCTGGCCAGGCTGCAGAGAGCCTTTGCCCGGAAGTGGGAGTTCATTTTCATGCAAGCAGAAGCACAAGCTAAGTGAGTCCTTGTGAGTCTTGGGGAAGTGTGCTCAAGATACCCCCTGGGGTCCAGAGAGGCCCTGCAGTTAACACTCATTGTTCATTGTTGCGATGTTGACAGAGTGGACAAGAAGAGGGACAAGATCGAAAGGAAGATCCTTGACAGCCAAGAGAGGGCGTTCTGGGACGTTCACAGGCCTGTGGTGAGCACGCGCCCCTGCTGCTGTCTGCAGCAACTGGCTCAGCCTTTGCAAAGTATGGGGCCATGTGGCGACCCCATCCCTCGTCCCAAAGCCTTGGTGAATTCCTTAAGAAAAGATTGCCACTTTTGTGTAAGATGAGCAGAGTTCCATCACATAATATTTAATTTATAAACCTACACATTTTTCCACCATGGCATCACTTGCTTACTCATGGTTGGCATTTGATGGGTTGATACTTTTATACCCTTGTAAGAAATAGGATCGCAGCAAAACAGCTTTGCATGGCTCACTATTTACATTTTTCTGGATTGATGATAAAAGTATAAGTCAAAATGTAGTTCCTCTCTAATTTTTCCTTTTTAAAGCCTATTATTAACCTGCTTTTCATGTCAATTTTTGTGGACTCACATTGTAGATAGCTCAAATTCAAATCAGCTTACACTTTTAGCGATGTAACTGATCGTGACATCTACATACATAACGTTACTGGTTTTCTTACATAAAAATGTTAAACCATGTGACTCAGAGTAACAAATACGGAATGTCCTTGATTAATACCAGGAAACTTTGTGTAAGGAATCAACAATGGTTATGAGCATTCATAAGAAAGCATGTCTAATCTCATATATTTCTTTCCATTTTGATGCTGTCTTTGTCTTTTGTATGTTTCCTTAAATATAGATGAGGCATTGGGGAATTATATTTACATATGTATTATTAGATTAAATCATAGGTTCACAGCATAAGACAAATCAAGATTGATGAGAATGCCCTAAAATTTTCTTCTCAACTCATTCAGGATCAGACTGAAACAGGTCTGTCTTCCAAAGGCTTATTTACATATATTTCAACTTGGTATAGTAATGCAGTTGTTAAATTCTATATTGAATTTTCCACTCTCTTTGAATTTATGAAAGATAAGAATTGAGACTTAACTGACTTTCTTGCTCAAAATTCAGCTTGAGCTTTATTGCTCTTGGTGAGAAAGGATTATGAGGTCACACGCATAGGTATTGCAAGGATACGAGGTAGGAT